AAAGCACACACATGCAACACCTGGCTATTTAAGGTATGCATAAGCCGGGCGTTTCATTTTTTGTTGCTAACATGGAATCTGCCTAAACTAACGCTTAGCTAAGCTGACGACAACATGGGCTAACTAGCTAATATGTTAGCATTGATAGACAACAGATTACTGACAAGGTCTGGTTATTACAGATTGTTCTCAATGGATGGTGCAGTGGCTTTGTCTTTCCATAGTTACTGACAGCGGAAGGTTTGCAATCGGTGTGAGTTGTATTTAGGATTAAATTGTGAAACTGGCGGTGATGTTGCTAGCGCTCGTCGCGCTCAAGCTAGCTCTGGTGTGACTATTTCCTGCATCGGAAAACAACTGTTCTCACCATAGAGCAGCTCTAACTGATCTTTCCTCGCACAGGATGCAAGTATTTACTGTTATAAATGCTAATTCTCCCAGCTGCCCAGTTATTCTCCCAGCTGGGCAGTGGTACAGTAAAACCCACTCAGTCTAGCTAGCAAGCTAAGGTACATGTCCGCACTCTGACCAGTGCACATTGGTAAAAAGAGTCCGGTGTTGTTGCACTCTGTCTCATTAGCTAGTACAACCAGACCATTTTTAAAAGCTACCATTAAAATAGCTTCTTAGTTTTGTGAAAATAACACATTAGTTTCTGTTGGAAGGTCAGAGGTCATTAACATTGACTGCCTCCTGTCTATTTCATGGGAAAAAGTGCTGCAGGTTCCCGCTAGTTGTGCCAGTCACTGGAAAGCAAGTGGTGTGTTTTTATACCAGTGAGTGCTGAAAGATTAGCACCTTGCTGCCTGATGTCCAGCAGGACTTGACAACTTCAGAGGGACGTTGTTGTTATTCTGTCTAGAGTGTGATCAGATATTGACCTGCAGTGCTTCAATACCGAACTGTGTGACATATGTTAACCCGCTGTCCCAACCTGTGGCGAGCCACAGTCTGTGGACATTTTGGATTCAAAATGTTGGTTTTGACCTGGATGCATGTGTTGTCCTTCCAGGCTGACAGGAGATATCTTCACAGTCCAAATACGTCTGAAGATCCACTGTTTATAACGGGTACAATATTAGGAGTCACATTTCCCCCAAAGTTTTACATTGGCAGCACTGTGAGACCGAAACACAGAGAGTAACATCTGGAACGCTGGATCATAGATGGGCTAAAACATTACTAGTGACAGGTCTTCAGCTATGCTGTATATAAATGCAGCTTGAATAATGTTTTACAAAGTGATATGTGGTATCTTCATGGTGCAGAAATGCAGTGATATACATTGTGGATTAGAAATATGGCTCAATTGAATTTATTAAATAGGAAATATGAGCGGTGTTGAGTGAGAGTGGATCACTGTGGAGCAACTTTGTTCAAAGCAATGTTCCCTCTCACCGCAAGATAACTAACAAAGCTGCATTTATATAGAGGGTAGAGTGGCTTGCTCTGTTTGACACCTCAGACTAATCTCCAAACCTACAACATAATTAGTTTCTCAAACCAGTTTGTGAGCTGATTGTATGTTTAGAGCCGCACTGTAAATGTGTATGTTGTTTGCAGGTGACGAGCTGGCGCAGGTCGTGGGTTGTCCGTGGATAATGCGAGACAGTGGCGGTAGCCTGGCCCAGAACTGCTGGCAGGGAGACCTGGGTCTGACCGCAGTGCGGACAGGACGACACAGGGAGGAGTAGGCATTATACGTATGGGTAATTAACATATTTAAATTCAAGTTAGGTTCGTATGTTATGAATAATGGTCTGTTCAAATCTGATGAGTCTGGTCATAAGTGACAATTATTTATGTCTTCTGTTCAGAGAAGATACAAGCAATGCCTAAATATGTGTTTCATTCTCTTCCAACTAACTGCAGTGCAGTAAGTACTTCCTGATGAAGTAATAAGAAACCACCTTGACACAAAAAATAGTGTGAGCAGTTAGAAGCCAGTTAGAGATGCCCCGACATACATTGTTTAGTACAAGGCCCAGAACAATCACATCATCATAAAAACAT